ACACATGATATTGACACCATGTCACCATATACCACACATGATATTGACACCATGTCACCATATACCACACATGATATTGACACCATGTCACCATATACCACACATGATATTGACAGTGTCACCAATATACCACACATGATATTCGACACCTTGTCACCATATACCACACATGATATTGACACCTAGTCACCATATACCACACACATGTCACCATATACCACACATGATATTGACACCTTGTCACCATATGCCACACATGATATTGACACCTTGTCACCATATACCACACATGATATTGACACCATGTCACCATATACCACACATGATATTGACACCATGTCACCATATACCACACATGATATTGACACCATGTCGCCATACACCACACATGATATTGACACCTTGTCACCATATACCACACATGATATTGACACCATGTCACCATATACCACACATGATATTGATAGTGTCACCATATACCACACATGATATTGACAGTGTCACCATATACCACACATGATATTGACACCATGTCACCATATACCACACATGATATTGACACCATGTCACCATATACCACACATGATATTGACACCATGTCACCATATACCACACATGATATTGACAGTGTCACCATATACCACACATGATATTGACAGTGTCACCATATACCACACATGATATTGACAGTGTCACCATATACCACACATGATATTGACAGTGTCACCATATACCACACATGATATTGACACCATGTCACCATATACCACACATGATATTGACACCATGTCACCATATACCACACATGATATTGACAGTGTCACCATATACCACACATGATATTGACAGTGTCACCATATACCACACATGATATTGACAGTGTCACCATATACCACACATGATATTGACAGTGTCACCATATACCACACATATGTCACCATATACCACACATGATATTGATACTTCGTCACCTAAACTTTCATCCACTTTTGTAGGTACATGTTGGAATAAAAGGTGTGGTAGTTGACAGCAACGGTGAAGGTATTGCAAATGCAGTTATCAGTGTGAAAACTGTGGTTCTGGATCGAAATGACAAAATTGAAGATGTCATTCCAATTGAACATGATGTCACTACAGGTAAATTTTCATATAAAAAGATTAAAAGATACAAAGATTTGTTGTTCTGATTGTAAATGTTTGAAAAGGTAAACACTATGGTTCCTTTCAACTTTTAGGGCAGGTTGAAATTGCATGATCTCCTGAATTTCTAGCTCCTAAAGCAGTTTAGGATATATGTATTATTAAATAAAATGCTATACTGCTTCGTTTTTGTGTAGCCAAGCAACAGGGAACTTAATACTGTTTTTCTTTCCTACAAAAATAGCAATACATTTTTACAAGAAAAAAATCAGAAATACTGCATTACAAACATTTACAAGTTTCTGTTCTAAAACTTGTTGATTTGTTATGTTTCACTAGCGGCAATGGGTGACTATTGGCGGTTACTGGTACCTGGTCCATACATGGTTACTGCTAGTGCTGAAGGTTACAAATCAACTGAAAAACCATGCTGGGTAGATGACGATTCTACTGCTACTATATGCAACTTTGCTCTGGCAGATGGTAATGATTTGCCGAACTTTTAGTAATATCTTGGGTATGTAAGTCTTAACAAAGATCCTTCAAACCTCTCTGAAGAGAGATAGACCCAAACAAAATTGGCTTGCAAGCTTGAAAACTCATCTTTGTTTTAACTTTTACAATAAAATTTACATACTGTTTTTTTTTTTAAACTATTTCCATGCAACTATTGTGCCAAAGATTAAACCTACAAAAGATGTACAAGAACTTAAAATTATATTTTTGAATTTACAAGAAATTATAAAATGTACTTTTAATATATAATATGGTCCAAGGTAGGTGAATGTCCCCAAATATGAAGTATGATAAATTACAAAAATGTTTTGAGAGTGCATTCATTACATCTGATTATTGCACAAAAAGGGATAGTCTTCAAGAACCCAGTCTCCTTAGATTTTTCATATTCAACAAATATATTTTATTTTTAATTTTCTATTTAAAAAATCTTGCAAGCCAATTTTCAGAATTTAAAAAAGAACAACTGAAAAGATGATATATTTTTGAAGTTTGTATTTTTGTCTGTTAGTTTTGGTAATCCTTTTTTCAGGTTACACTGCCAAATACTGTATTTACTTTATTAGTAGGTCATACAATTACTTGAATGAATTACCAGAGTAAATGATACAGTATACAATACATGTAACTGTTGGTGAGATATGCTTCTAATAGAGCAAATACGGTATGTGTTTAGGTCATTTGTTTCAGCACTGTATGAGGGCACTACACTTCATGTATGTCTTAATGATAAAATCTCCACCGTATAAAGTGCGCCCTCATAAGGTGGAGATGGGATAAGATTTAAACAAATTGTTACAGTGTGAAAAAAATATGTCCTATTTATTTTACCTCTGGGTATGTTATCATCACATATTGCTGAATATCAATTTCATAATGACATCATTGATTGTACTTGATAAGGTAAACTTCATATAAAAATGAAATAAATTTACCATAAGTTATGATATTCAGCTACTATAGATGAGTTTATATTGATTTCACAAACTACAACTTGTGGAAAAATCTATTGTAATTTTGAACACCAGTGAGTCTATAGTACACTTAAGTCATAATAACATATCTTGTTAATGTCCTTCTCTGCCAATATTTACATTATACAAATGTCAATCATTATGCACATATTATTATTGTGTTTAAAGTGAATATGTTTTGTTTATATTTTACTCCAGCTATTGTGATTGGTAAAATCACCTTGTAATTCTGAAAAGCATGCAAGTGGCATGTTTACAGTCCCTTGGTTTAGTTATAATGGCTTATTGTTTTCAGACAGTATTATAGCATAATAAATATGTTATAATTTGTGTCAAGATTATTTTACACTACTTACTGACAACTAAATATTCTATTATTCTTTTAGTCAAATCTAAATCAGTGTTAAATACAACTACGTGGCCAACTACCATTCACCACCCCTCTCTCTCTCTCTCTCTCTCTAATATTGTCTTGACTGAATTGCTATATGTACATAGTCCAGAACATCCATTAAAATTACTGATTTAGCTTGTCCTTTCAATCATTGTCAATGCGTGATTCAAGTCCACTGCTAATTCTCAGAATAAAAAAGGTGATCTTTGTTATACACAATAGCTGTTATGGAGAAACATATCATCACGTCTTTTTACCCTGCACTCAAAAACATTTACATATATTACTTATGCTAATGTATAAATATACTTAGTGTTTGCTTTGGTTTTTGAAATAGCCACAGTGCTACAGGAATACACAACTGTTGGAAGCATCAATGAAAAGAGCTGTTCTTTGAAGAGTATGATTCTGTTGGCATTTCCCACATAAACATTTATTTAATTATATACTTCTACTCTTTTGACGTTAAAGCAAATGTTCAACTCATTTTGATGCTAAAAAGCCAAAATAACATTGGGTTGTGCATCTTTTGGAGAAAACCATATTGTAAAATCCTAAAAGTATCACAATTATGCATTTCTGTATTCCTGTTTTCACCAAAGCAGCACCAATACTTAATATTCCCTTAACTGTTGTGTGTGATGAAATATATGCAGTGAGAATTATGCATAAATCATTGTATACATTTTTTTCCTCGTTACACTATATATGTATAGCATCCAAGGTTAACAATTTTTCAAATAAGTGATATTCTGCACAAGCACTCAGGAGGTTTTTCCAAATTGTATTTAATTACTAATGTGTGCAGATTATCTCAGTTTCAGTGGTATGGGTAAGCACAAGCCCTTGGTTGTATTTACCCTTGATAGTTAATTTACACAATATTGAGGATGGAATGTAGAATAGATATAACATATATAACATAAATTATCTGAAATCTAATTATAATTTTATTAGATAAGAGTCAAATTTGAGGATTCCCCGGTTGAGGTATTTCAAAAGTTGTCTGACCTGTTCTATATCAATGCTTTATTGCATACCATGTGATCCAATCTGGCCAATCAGTGTATTTAGATCGTACATACAAGTTTTGATCTATCAATTGGGTTTGAAATTCACTTATTTCATTGGTTGAGAGAGCAGTCTTTGGTTTCAAAATCTAAACAATCTTGAAATAGATAACTTTTATAGGCACTATTTTTCAAATTCATTGTTTTGTAACAATACATTTTATGATAAACTTGAATTCAATTGTGGATGAAATAAGTGTAAAAGAAACCCAACAAATAATTGAAGGGTGGTGGTCATAGTAAATTGTTTATATACGTGAAATTTGAACACCTGTTGTGTGATGACCACTGTCCTTAAAGACTTGTAGAGTAACTTTGAAATTGCATAATTCACTAAACAGGTTACTGTAAAATACTATTATTTACATAATTTTGGCGAGTTTTTAGTGCGACAATGATACACCATTGTTCTATCCCATAATGCATTGCATATATTACAAGTAATGACAATTTTTAATTCAGCTTGAACTCTATCAAAGTATCCAGTTTTGACGACAAAACCAATATTGTGCAATCATAAAAAAAAATACCTCAAATATTTTAACTCTTTGACCACCATACCTTGTATTGCATACATACTCAGGCTTTGTGTGTGCCCTCATGTATGTTTATGGGAAATACTGTATTGGTACATGCAATGACCAGAAGAGATTTCTTCCATGTACTTGGAAAGTACAAGTGTGCTGGTTCCAAGATGTCACTGTCTTCAATTAAGAGAAATTATGATTATGATTACTGTAAAATACTTAGCTGGAATTAATTTTCGCTGAAAAGACTTTTTGGGTGGAATTTATTTTTACCGATTTCTGACGAGTTGAATATAAAATATAGGAAAAAAGTATATTTGCTGGATTTTATTTTCACTGAATCATTCCTTCAGCGAAAATTAATTCCAAGTAAAAATAAAGTATTTTACAATATAAAAATCTGGTGTCCAAAGGGATAAAATAAAAATGCAACAATAAAGAATACAACTTTCATTTATTTATTTATTTAACTTTAGTATTTGCAATATGTCAACAATGTAATATTTATCATGCACCGATTCAATCACTGATTTGGGTTTGTGTGAGTCCTATTCACAGCTTGGTACATAGTCCTTGTATGGAATTTCTATTTCTGAACATTTCCACCAGTCTTATCTGTATTCTGGTTTTTAATGAAAAAAGCTCTCTAGATGTTGGTTCTGACACCCACAACACTAGGACGCTATTGGTAACTGATTTAATCACCAAAGATTTTAACTTAATTGTTCTTTAGATGAATATTGTACAGTGAATAAATTGTGCTATTTTGTGAAAGCATTTGATGTTTCATTTATTTTTGTCTTCATGCTGAAATGCTCAGTCAGCAGTTCTTATGGTATAATTTTAGCAAGAAAGCTTGCTGGACTTATTAGCACAAAGGAAATTTGTGAATTCTTCAGTAGAGTGAAACTAGATACAAAAATAAAGGGGTTTGATGTCACTAAACGTAATACAACAGTCAAAATAAAGTACTGTCACAGACCTAGTGGTTCGGTTCTTTACCCCAAAATACACAATGTATTGGTATTAATATATATTCATACACGGTAATGCCAGGGTAGAACTTTGGGAGAAAACGTGCACATCTGTAACAAACCCACACGCACTTAAAAACAAGTTCATGTCAATCTCAAATAATACTTGTAATGCAAATCAAAATATTTGACCATAAATGAGTAAAGTAAACATTAATAATGAAGTGCATATAACCATGGTTAATGTAACAAATAACGTTCGTTGTAGACTACCTGTTAACATCAGTCACTGTACCATAAACGAGGAATGGAGTAATGCCAATAACTTAAGCTCATGTAATTGACCCAGTTCCATACACTGTGTTCGATGTACTTGTACAACACTATTTAATGTTGATGGTTTGACAAATAAGTTGCAGCATAGCTATGGAGTCTCGGTGACTTCACCATGTAAAATACTATAGCTGCCCTTAGGGTTTCCAATCCAAAGTATCAGGAACTGGCAACAAACTTCTCAAGATATTAACTGTGACAGGCAGCAGGGAAATGTTATCAGTTT